AATGTTTCAATTGACTAACAAAAAAGGTGTAGCACTCTAGTCTAGCCCTTCCCATCAAATGATCAGTTTGAGACCTAGTGAAAACTAATACGTTTAGAATATTCATAACCATTCAACTAAGTAATATGTTTAGAATATTCGAAAACTAATCAAAATTTATTAAGCTTTCAACATAAGCTAAAATGATCCAGTTAGGGGCGGGCATCCGATTCGGTAAACCCGAACCAAACCTAAACCGAGTTGAAACCGAAATAAATCTATTATGTTCGGAATTCGAAAGAGGATAGTGGTTATTTCGGAAACAAAGGTTTTGTCGACCGAACCGAGTGTCCGAATTTCGAACCGAACAACCAAACTTTGTCTGAACCCAAGCTTATCTCTTTCCAGCCCAACATAGTCCTAAGCCCAATTAAGCACCCATAGCCCAACTCAAGCATTCAGAGGCACATTTCATCTATCATGCTAACCTTTTCGTTTACTCATCTTTTGTAGGCCGGAAGAAGAGTTTATGGAAATCGGAAGGGTTAGGTGGCAGGTGCGAACTGCGAGGGGCATTGTTGATGGAATTGTAACCCTTCAATTCACTGTCTTTTGTGTCCTGGTACTTCAATTGAAGAGGGCGACGGCCACATGTAAGCAGCTGGGAGTGGAAGGGCCACGATGGGAGAGGCCACCCGGCGACGGAGGGATCTGATCCTGATCCCGGTGGCAAAACGAGCTGAGTGCGACCTCGGCGGCGGAGGGCACTAAGCACGATCTGGTGGCTAGAAGAATGGGAGAAGAAGGTCGTCGCCGGTGCCGCCCTCCATCGCTGTCTTCGCCGGAGGCAAGATCTCAACCGCCGATGTGTTGTACTCTGAGTCGAGATCTGGGTTTGTTGGTTGGGTAGAATCATGGCTTTCTATAGATGAAGATTCAAAAGAGGCAGAAAAAGGTAGTGGTGGGCTGCTGGGTATCATGGTGGGGGTGAGAAGGGGAACTAGGAATGGAGAAAGCGTAGAGGGATGGAGGAGGAAGGCAAAGGCAAGAGAGGGAGTCAGGGAGAGGGAGAAAAGCGTAGAAAGGGGGGAATATAAAATAATATTTGGAAAGTGGGAGAGGTATAATGGTGGTATGCTGTTAAAAAACAAACTGAACTGCAATATAATTTGGTTTGAATTCGGTTTGGGGTTTGGAGCATAGTGGGACTCGATATGCTACATTTCAGTTCGGTTTTGACCAAGCCGAACGGATGCCCACCCCTAGATTAGTGATTGGCCTAGTAACCTTGCATGCTACCCATGATAATAGTCATAATTGGATAAAAATATTATATTGTATGTTTATAAACCCAATCAGGTGGGTTAATTCACAAACACAAGTTAAGATACATATCCACCCACAATTCGATTGAAATTCAATCTTCATCATCTTCTTCCCCCGGCCGAAACAATACCTAAATATCACTTATCATAACGCAATACATTTACTTAGAATCAGAATGCAACACTAAATAAATATAGGGGCAAGACAGTATACTTGTGGTGTGCTTTAAGATTATTGCAGCGTGCTGTTATTAACATGTGATCTGCTTTATGTAACTTGTGGTGTACTGTAATAAACTTGTGGTGTGTGTTATGAGATTTGTGGCGTGCTTTAAGAAATTTATGGCGAGCTATTATAATTTATAAACTTGTGGTATGCTTTATGTAACCCTGTTAGAGATAGAGGCAGTCGGTGTACGATGTACCATGCCTCTCGATTTGGGCCAAGGGGACTAGTACCATGATTTAATTTATAATTCCACAAAAATAGAACCCGCAATTATGCTAACCGTCGAGATCGCACATATGGTAAAGATTGGCTGGTGTGCGACATACACATGTTTTTGCTTGGTGTATGATAGACGTCACCATATACACACACACATATATATATATATATATATAGTGACTACTTCGGTGCTCTCACAAAAATGGGTGCGTTCAATGCACCCAACTCAAAAACTAGTCTTATGGTGTCGGATGTTGAATTTTAATTTGTAGAATCAGTGTAATATGATGATATGACGTATGATAACAACTAATTAGCCGATTACCCTAAGCCTTAGACCTCCAATTTTGAGTTCTATTGCTAAACCCCAAATTGTAAACCCTAACCCCAACCCTAAATCTGTAAACTCTAAATCCTTCAAATTAAAGTAAATCTTCAATGGTTTTTGTGCAAATTCATGTGCGTTATTGTTCATCACATCATAAGTGATGATTGACATTATTTTTACATAAATCGCATGTTTAAAATGATGGTTATGAAGTGAGTGCACTGAACGCACCCAAAAAAGTGAGTGCACCGAAGAAGCCACCATATATATATATATATGGCGAGTTCTACGGTACCCCGGGTAAAATTCGGGGTACCGCATACCTTGAGTAAAAAAACGCTATCTAGAACTTGAATTGACTGATCTTTCGGACATGATACTATACTCTAATTCATAAAGATCAAAATATAGGTCTTAATTCACTTAATCTTATACCCCAAGATCAATTTAGTTAGAAATAATAATCGACGGTTATGATTCGTCCAAATATAGGCAAAAAAAATCAATGCACCATCTTAGAGTTTATAGTTTATGATTTAGATAATTAGGACCTAGGGTTCACTCATTAAGGGTTAGGGTATAGTATCATGCCCAAAAACCATGCTAATTCGAGGTCTAGATAGCGTTTTCATACTCAGGGTATGCTGCGGTACCCCGGATTTCACCCGGGGTACCGTAGAAGGCACCATATATATATATATATATATATGTGTGTGTGTGTGTGTGTGTGTGTGGGGGGGGGGGGGGGAGTGCTACGGTACCCAGGGTGAAATCCGGGGTACCGCATACCTTGAGTAAGAAAGCGCTATCCAGAACTTGAATTGACTGATCTTTCGAACATGGTACTATAATCTAACTCTTAAAGATCAAAATCTAGGTCTTAATTCTCTAAATCTTGTACCCCAAGATCAATTTAATTATAATTAATAATCGACGGTTATGATTCGTCCAAATATAGGCAAAAAAACAATGCATCATCTTAGGGTTTATAGTTTATGATTTAGATAACTAGGACCTAGGGTTCACTCATTAAGGGTTATGGTATAGTATCATGCCCAAAAATCCTGCTAATTCGAGGTCTAGATAGCGTTTTCATACTCAAGGTATGCGGTACCCCGGATTCACCTAGGGTACCGTAAAAGGCACCATATGTGTGTATATATATATAAGCAACCACCCTTTGCATGTTGTATATTTTCACTTACAAGTTGTTGTGATCCCGCGTACCAGAATAAAGTCGCTTCAACACATCATCATCAACACCCTACACCAATGACAATCTACAACATTCTTCACTCTCAATTTTTTTGATAATGTTGAAATCACACCACAAGTTAGATAAAACAATCTAAAAGAATACTAACCCAAACTACAAACGCGAGAAACCAAACTACAAAAAAAAAAAAAAATGCACAGCACACACAAAACTCTTACACTATTTCACAAATCCTCTAAAGCATACCACAAAGGCACGAAAGCTAACCAAACAAAAACTACTACTGAGGATAAGATTATCGTTGTAGGGGTGTTCCAAATCATTAATTATAATATTTTTATCTATACAAAACTACTATCAAAAGTTGAATAATCATTTTCCCAGGGTACTCCTTATCCCCTCTTCTACTCATTTGGTGACAAACCAAATGGGGCTAAGATCAGGTGACTAAGGGGGGGTCCCTTAGTCACATGACTAAGTGAATCTCAGCCATTGCATCTCATTAAAATCCAATGGCTACAATTAATCTAATGTAATGAAGGGCAAAACAGTAATTGCATGATTATTTTTATTTTTATTTATTAAATTTTTATGTCCTCTGACTATTCCCCCCGCCGTGCGTCTCGTCTCCTCTTTTCCCCGTCGGGCAGGCCGTCGACGATCGCAATTCGCCTGGGATCTTTTTCTTGCGGGACAACTGATTTGGGAACTTTTTCCCTTACTTGGAGAGAGAAGGAGAGAGAGGCCAGTGGGAAGGAGAGAGAGGCCAGTGGGTTTCTTGTGTGGGAAAGGGAATATCCCACGTAACACAGACACACAGAGAGAGAGAGAGAGAGAGAGAGAGAGAGAGAGAGAGAGAGAGAGAGAGAGAGAGAGAGAGAGAGAGAGAGATTTTTTGGTCGGAAAATTTTTCCGGCGAACATCGTCGCCGGAGAAGAATTTCCCGGCGACAGTGCTAATTTTGTGATGTTTGTTGCCATATTTTGTAATGTTTGTATGCTTTGTTATTTTGTAATGTTTGTCGGTTTTTTTTGTAATGTTTGTAAACTTTGTTATTTTTATGCACCATGTTTGTAAACTTTGTCATTTTTGTGCACCATGTTCGTAATGTTTTTTATGTCTAAAAAACACCCGGGTTGACTTTGGGAAGGAGCCTCCAAAGTCAACCCGGGTGTTTTTTCCCGTTCGTATGGATTGTCGGTCTAGTTTGTCATTTTTGTCCACCATGTTCGTACTGTTTGTATGTCTAAAAAACACCCGGGTTGACTTTGGGAAGGAGCCCCTCTATATAGGGATGGAGCCTCCAAAGTCAACCCGGGTGTTTTTTCTTTTTGTATGGTTTGTATTGTTTGTCGGTCTAGTTTGTATTGTTTGTACAGTTCATACGTTTGTAATGTTTGTAAATCTGTTTGTATGTTTTGTCGCTCTAGTTTGTACTGTTCGTATGTTTGTATGGTTTGTACTGATTGTAAATCCGGTTTGTATACTTCGTAATTTTCCATAATACCCAAACTACCCCTGTCATTAATTAAATAGCCCTTCCCACTTATTAACCATTGGATTGAAGTGTCCAGATCTAATGGCTGAGAGGGGCTTAGTTAAGTGACTAAGCACCCCTTAGTCACTGGATCCGCTCTCAACCAAATGGCCTTAAAATCCGACGGTGTGAATTCACCCCATCAGCTGGTTCGTTCCTTCATTTGGCAAAACTCCTACCGTCCAAACCAACGCGTGGGCTCTACTACCTTCAACCATTCAACCACTACACATGCTTCGTTTCGCCTTTTAGTCTCTCTTCTCCCGGCTAAGCATATCAAAGAGCGCTCTTAGCTTCGGGTCCAAACCAAACCTAGCTTCGGATTGCCCTGGCCCCCGAACCTCGTCGTTGTTCCTCTGTTCGTTGAAAATTTCGCACACTATTTCGATCGCTTTATCTCCCTCTCCCTACCTCTCTCCTTCGGTCTCTCGCACAGCTCTGACTCTGAGATGCTCATTTCCTGATACCTTCGCGTTGCCATTGGTTTAAACCCTAAAATTTGCGCGAATTCTTCGTCTCTGAGGATCGGTTTCCAGCTCGGAAATGGTGGCCTGTACACGAAACTGTGAGTTCAACAAAGCTTTTTCTCCTTCTCCCTTACGTTCTCACTGGGTTGAAACCCTAACCTTCTGCTCATAGATGTCATCTATGTTAACTGGGCTGAACTAAACCGACATCGTGCTTGGCAGCTTTCTAGCAGCTTATTCTGTTGTTTTGGGCTTTTGTGCCTCTCGTGGGAGGCTGGTTTCGGGTGGGAATTTGAGAGTTCGTTTCTCGATCGTTTTTGGTTAAGTGGTAATGAATGCTGGATTTGGAATATGGCTTTCCGCTGTAGGTTTTGAGGCCTACGGAACTTAGGGAAACGTGAATTTTGTCTTCCGTTACTTCGCTTCTCTCTGTTCCACTGGGATTTAGAGATTAGTTCTCGCTGCTTTGTTCTTAATTGAGACAAAATTGGACTTTGTTTGTTGGATTTCCCTCCCACAAACCTGCATTTTCTCGGCAACTAGGAAGAGGAGTGTTGGCGAAAACTTTTCACGGGTCTGGAAGGCCTTCCCTTGGATGTCTGATATGCTTATATTTGCTTTATTACTTAAAAGAGTTGGTAGAGCTCTGTATGAACCAAGATTGCTATTTTGATGCAGTCATTGTCGCTTGCTTTATTCCATGGAAGATATAAGGTGTGACGGTGTCACATAACAACAAATAGGCTAGAGATTGTTCAATGTTATTTTTTGCTCTGAAGCTTCATTGTTTATGAATATTCCCTTTGAAATTCTGTACTTGAATGGAGCCAATTATGTGTATTACTGAGGATCAAGGAAGCAATAATGTCAAGCTCTTAGTTTGTCTTGGAGATAGGTTGACCTTTAGGCATATTTCTCTTTGGCCAGCAGGGTCCATCAGAACTTCGTCTTGTGTAGTTAAATGAGGTGAATTCTTAAATAGTTGAGTATGCTGTTCACAATGTCCCAGTCATATCGACGATTAAAATTTTCTTTACACTTTTCATGGGATGCTCATTTGTAGAGCCTGACATGTGAAGGTAGAGAGACATTCTTGAATATTGGTGGAATAAGGAATTTGCTATTTGACTGCAAAGTTGGAAATTAAAGCTGAATTCTTCATTCTGTGATCTCATGTTGATTTGGAACTTGCTTTCGAGATTCCCCTGGACCACGATTCAATTCAGTTTTTGTAGTTGTTTCATTTTGCTCTTGATCGTTGTAAGCTGAGTATCATGTGCTAATTTTCATTAGAAATCTAGGACATGGTGTTAGACTATCATGTTATCACTTGCCAAGATGGGTAGAAAATGACTTGAGTTGGAATAGTGTTGGGTAAAAGGAAAATGACTGAGTTGGAATAATGCGTCCCTCATAATTTGGTTTACAATTCATTGGAGCCCAATCTGTTAGTTAGAAACTAATTTCTAATTGCAGCAATGGTTTGTACCTGTAATTCTAGGCTTGTATTTTTTAATAAATATTGTAAACCAGTCCCTTTGTGCTTCAATAATTCTTGTCATCACAACATTTTTATCTTATTTATATTATATATCCTTGCTGCACTTGTGCAGAGAGTTTGGTCATTTTAGCTTGTGAATTAAACAGGTTACTATTGAGAAACTTTATTCTCTTCCTGTCACGTGTTTATTGTCACTTTGCTGAAAAGTAAATATTTATGAAGCATTCATCAGGTGTTCTTATAGCTTCTATTTCCATGTCTTTAATGCAGACCGAGGAGAAGCATTGGGGTCATTGTAGAGGGATGACATTCACATGAACCCAATAGAGGTTGTATATCGCATAATTCTCATGTTTACTCCTCTACGATCACATTTTGAAGAATGTAATAAATTTTGATTTTATTTCAGGGGTTAAATATCTCGTTCAGTCAATAGCTAAGCTACTGAGAACTTGTGAGGGGAATTATCTATGCCTGGAAACGAGATTGGAGATAGGATCCACAATTTCTTTGGTCAAGAGACTTCTTCCCCGGTCCCACAACACTCGCAAATTGCTGATGCAGCCTGGCCTGGGATGAGTGCGAATCCATGGGCTGGAAGTCAGGGACAGGTTGCCACACCCTTCATATCTGATTTAAGAAATCGCAGTTTACAGCAATCAGGTATCAACTCCTTGTCCTTGTGCAGTTCTTTTGCTTGTTGGCGAGGTCCTTTCAGATCCTACTGAAGTGTTTTCCATCTCACTGGTTGGACCACCCAAAGAACTTTTCTATTTAGTTAAGTAATTGGAATCCTAACAAACTTATAAGTGGATTTGGAAAGGTGTTTAATTGCAATCTCCTGATAGTCTCTTTTGTGTTCCCAGTGGCTGATTATGGGAGAGGATATGGTGCTCAGTCATCAACTGTGCATCATGATTTGAGCTTTCAACAATCAATTGAAAGAACAGAGCATGCTAGAAGTCAATCGCAAGATCAGCAACCAACTATAAATGGCTACTTTCAGGGTCATCAGGGTTTCCAAACAAGGCAGAATGAGACAAACTTTTTGGGAGTTGATGCAGAACTTGATCGGCATAATTTAACACCAAAGGGTTTTTCCGCATTCGATTCCCATCAAGGAAATGGCCCTGACTTTCACCAACGAAATTTATTAAGGATGGACTCTACTGAATCTCCAGTTAATTTTGATTTTTTGGGAGGTCAGCATCGGATGAGTCCCCAGCATCCTGGAATCGTGCAATCTCTTCATAGGCAACCTTTGGGGATTGGGGATATGCAGCTGCTGCAGCAACAATTGATACTCAAGCAAATGCAAGAATTTCAGAGACAGCGACAGCGACAGCATCAGATGCAACAACTACAGCAGCAAGAATCAACTAGGCAACTTAATATTTTGAATCACATGTCCTCTCTCGGAAAGCATGCGCTTGTTAGTCAGTCCCAATCTATGATCAATGGAATTCCTGTACAGGATGCATCTGGTTATTTATTGCAGCCTCAGGTGATTGCGGCTAACACAAACTGGCAACAGCATAGTATGTCTCCAGACATGCGAGGCTCATCTAGCGGGCTTGGATTTTCGTTGGAACAAAACCAAGCACTTCACTTGATGGATATGGCTCCACAGCATGTTGATCAATCTCTCTATGGTGTCCCAATCTCTGGTACAAGAGTTGCTTCAAGTCATTTTTCACCCATCCAAATGGACAAAGCCCCTCCCCAGCAGATGTCTAGCAATATTAATTCCCTTATAGTTAATCAGTATACAGTTTCATCAAACCAGGTGAATGATCAAGAAGGAACGTCGGGATCGAGACAAGGATGTCAGCGGAGAAATGTGACTGGAAGAGTAGATACTCAAGGCTTGGACAGTGGAGTTAATTTAGAATGTCTCCAGCAAGTGAATTCCCGGCAAAGTAGTGTGTCAACTCAGGAATTCCTTAGGAGGCAAGATGGAGAAGTTCCATCAATATCATCAAAGGAGAAGTCTGTTAATCAGGCAGTGTCTTCTCAGAATGCCACAACACTAGATCCAACCGAAGAGAGGATTTTGTATGGGTCAGATGATAATTTGTGGGATGTTTTTAGCCACAGCGAACATGTGGATTCTGGAGGTTTGAATACGGAGAGTACGGAGGCACCTGGTGGTGCTTTGTCATTTTTACAAAGTGGAACTTGGAGTGCTCTTATGCAGTCAGCCGTAGCAGAAGCTTCTAGTGTGAATGTTAGCGCACAAGAGGAATGGAGTGATCCGGATAGCCAGGGTACAGAACCTCAAAATGGAAATCGGCAGATCCGGACTGTAAATGATTCTGGAAAACAGCAAACAGCTTGGGCAGGTAACAGCTTTCAAACTGGCTTGACCCTGAATAATCCCTTCCATCTATCACATGATAATACAGGTACAAACAGAAATGAAATGCAAAGAGTTAACCGTTCTGGGGTGAGCTCTGCACACAATGTGAGTGAAAAGTCGCAGATAGATTCTTTTCGGAAATTTTCTCAGCAGTTTGTAAAAAGTAATACCAAATGGCTTGATGGGAGCCATCAACAAAAGGCTGCTGTTGAAGTGAACCATAATCATGAAAAGGTTGTTCATTCTCCTGTTGTGGATTCAAGTGCAAAGAACACATCCCATCCCTGGGCCAGTCAGGCAGGCTCCACGCTGCACAATCCAATTGGCCAATCATTCATTAGACAAAATGGTTGGAACTTCATTGATTCAGCATCATCTAATACAGGCTCAGCTTTGAAGAGTCAAGGGAATCAAAATCCTTTGCAAGCTCCCTCAACAAATGATCTAAAGAGCTCAATAGGAAAGAACATTTGGAGAACTGACTCTGTTTCCAACTCAGCTGTTGGGACAGTCTACACTCAATCTAGCACTGGTAGTTCCGCAGTCAACACAGCGGATTCTAGCAGGAATAATACTCCAGATTTCAGCAGTATGATGCTCAATCAAGATAGCAGCCAAGATGTTCCTCAACTAGGCAACAATATTGATGTCTGGAAACATGTTGATCCAGTAACAAATCATAAGGGACGTGAGATCACGGGTAGCCGTTCGCTCAGTATGGAGAAGGCCCAGGGAGTGTTTGAATCATCTGGAAACAACAGTCCAGGCAATGGTGCTGTCAATGCTCGTGAATTAGATAATTTGAGTGTGAGACAGCAGGCAATGGATAGCTTCACCAATACATCTCACAATGTCAATGCAAGGAGAAGTAATTGGAAATTTCAGTATCATCCTATGGGAGATGTAGATGTTGATTCTGACTCATCACATGCAACAGCACCTGGTGCTCGTTCAGAGTCTGCCATGCAAAGGATTTCCGGTGGATCAAGAGGTCAGGAAGAAGAGCAAATTGGACAATCTTATTTCACTAGTCTCTCTAGTTCCCTTGATAGAGGTGCCCATAACTTCACACCAAACAAGACACCGAAGGACGCAAATGCCAATCAATCTGTAAATGAGTCATTTGATAAGTTTGTCTCCCACACGAAACAGTCAAAAGAGTCTGTGGATGAAGTGCGATCAAGTCAATCTGGGCAAGTGTTGGTGCCTGACACTTCCAGGGGCACAACATGTAATGATGTTGCTTCCTCTGCCGAGGTTACCCGCCTTGGCAACTTGCAAAGCGATACGGATTCTGGGCATCAGTTTCCTGTGCTAGAAGCTTCATCTACTTTCCAGTCCTATACTGGATCTGGCTTACAACAGGATGGTGCTTCAAAAACGTCTTCAAAAATGAGGACCACTACATCAAGCAAACACCAGTCTTTTGGTACTCCAACTTTCCTGGCCTCGTCAAATGCATTTGAGTCCAATATTCAATTAAACAGCACTAAAGAAACCACTTCCTGGTCTCAGAAGCTAGAATATCAGGCTCCACAAGGAAGAGGTAGCAGTCCATCTGCATCTGGTGCTACTTCTGTGAAACTTGGATTTACTGGTAAAGACCAGCTGGAAAAAGATCCGAGTCAGCAGATTCTACCGGTTAATGATTTTACCAAGAAGATGAGTCCCTTGACTGGGAAAGAGACTATCATAAATCATGTTGGTAACTTTTATGCTTCATGCGCCGTAAGCACTCAAATGGATATTGCAGCTTTTGGACGCTCGTTGAGGCCCAATGCTTCGTTGAGTCAAAATTACTCATTGCTGCATCAAGTTCAGGATGTGAAGAATATGGAGGGAGATCCAAGTGGTAGAAGTTTGAAGAGATCGAACGGATCTGATGGTAGTGTTGATCCTCAGTTAGCTGCTTCTGAGGGTGGGCAGCAGCTGATTGGACACGCTAACACTGTCAGAGGTGCATTACTAAACAATGCTTCTAGTTCTCCTGATGATCCAAAAGCAGTTGGCTTTTCTGGGAGACAAACAGACGTGCATGGGCCGAATCTTCCTTCTCAGGACATGCATGAGTTTGGTGGGAACAGTTCTAGAAATTTTGCGGATAGCAATGATGGGGTTACTGGTAAAGGTGACCTTTCTCTGATCAGTCCCCAGATGGCTCCATCATGGTTTAATCAGTTTGGCACCTTCAAGAATGGACAGGTTTTATCCACATATGATGCTAGAAAAGTTGCCGCCATGAAGCATGCAGAATTAGCTCTAAGTGGTGGCAGGTCTTCTAATAGACTGCCTATTCCAGGTCCATTAGAGGCTGGAAGAACCACTGGCGATGATGCAAATCAGCATGACCTAGTTAGGATAAGTTCTACACCACTAGTTACTGAGGAGTTTTCTTTTCCTCAATTGTCACGGCCTGACTCTGTTGATATGAGTTTGTTTGTGGTAAGACCAAAGAAGCGCAAGAGTGTCACATGTGATCTTGTTCCATGGCATAAGGAAGTGATAAAGATTCTGCATAGGCTCCCGAATATAAGGTGGTAGTGATTTCATTCTTGTCTGTTGCTTTTGGTTAACTCTTATTTTGAGAATTACTTTCTGCTTGTGGGTTTTGCAAATGGCTTATTCATATTGTCTTCCCCCTTCCTATACTCTGTTAATTTTATTTTGACATATGCAAACTTTGTTGCTTGCAGTTTAGCAGAAGTGCAATGGGCAAAGGCAGTTAACCGTCTGACTGAAAAGGTTTGTTAAACAATAATGAGCTTTATATAAGAATTCCCTTTTGGAATTTGCATTTTTCCTTAAACAGTTTATGTTGGAAGCGTTGTTGATAATGCTGTAATTTCTGATGACAGGTGGAAGATGATGGTGAAATCATAGATGATGGGCCGCCAGCCATTAAATCAAAGAAAAGATTGATATTGACGACACAGATTATGCAGATACTACTTCAACCTCCTCCATCGTGGGTTATGTCTGCTGATGCAACTTCTCAATATGATAGTGCTGCTCATTGTGTTGCTCGGTTGACACTGGGAGATGTATGTAGTTCACTATCTAGCTCTGCCAGTCACGCTTCCCCACCTTCCAAAAGCAGCAACGTGTAAGGATGACCATTGAATTAGATTACAAATTTGGTGGCTGTCTCTGTTTCTTGTGCATAAGAATTATGTTTTCTGAACACTGCATTCCTTTCCGTTGCCATCTAATCTGTTGCTTTTCTTTCTTTAGAATACCCGAGAGGCTCAGAATGTCTAAAAGTAAAAGTGATCAATACTTCTCGAAAGTTATGGAAGATCTCATCGAGAGAACAAGAAAGGTGGAAAGTGACTTGCTGAGGTAGTTTGTTGGTCTCCTCAGTCCTTTGGTTGCTTGAACTGATGCCTTACGTAGTGTGTGGTCTGTTTGGTTATGGGCTCTCGTGTCGTAGTGTGCTAAAATGTGATTTTGAGCTTATCTTCTCTTTCCTTTTCTTGATATGGTCCGTCTCTTTGAGATCGATCCTCTCAAAACTAGTGACCCATGAGGATGTTATTTTGTACTTGTCTTGTTTGGACCAGGTTGCTGGTTACCTTCTGTGGTTTTGTTGGAGTTGCAGAGCAGGACAGGGTGCCCACATGCTCGTGGCTTATCAGATTTTGAATTTACTAGTCATTTTAGTGTCAGCAATTTCGGGCTGTTTTCCATGGTCATCCTTGCATCTTAGGTCGTACTTGCTGTCATTCCTCCAGTTGTCTTGAGGTTCTCAGTTCTCCATTTCTGTGCTGGTGGAGTGGTGCAGTGTGAGTGAGACCGAGCGTTTATGCCTGACATCTTATGGTTTTCTTTATTGTGGCAACAGATTGGATAGGAGCATGTCTGTGTTAGACTTGAGAGTAGAATGTGAAGATTTAGAGAAGTTCTCTGTCATCAATCGGTTTGCTAAGTTCCATGGTCCAGGTCAAACAGCAGGTGGATTAGTAGACACTTCATCCTCGGGTAGCGCTTCTAATGCACAGAAGGCCTTTCTTCAAAGATATGTTACTGCGCTTCCCTTCCCTAAGAATATCCCTGACAGGGTACAATGTCTTTCACTTTGATATTTATTTATTTATTTAATTTATTAGTTTTCTTCTCTTGCCTCTTCTCTTCTTCTCTGACTGCAACTCATAGCATTCTGTGACATAGAACATGGTTGGGAATGTAGGAAGCAGATAGTAGATTTTCTCCTCATAAGAGATGGAGGCTGTTAGATTTGTACTAATTAATCTAGGCTGTTCATGTCACCCTGATATGTATAATAGGGAACTGTGGTTCGCCTTCATCTTTTGGCGGACTGTTGGGATGTGTAGTTTGACACTTTGGCTTTTAGCCTAGTGCGGAGAAGAAGATAATAGAGATGATCCAGACGCTACATCTAGCAAGTAGCATAGTGAAGCGCTTTAAAAGCTTCATGTAAAAAGGGTTCGTTCACTTTTGATAGAAACTTGCATTTTAGTATTTTGATTAATTGTCGGTTTGTTACTATTTCGGATTATTGGGACTAGTTCGGGGATTGGAGAATATTTTATAATTCGGGTAGCAGTAGGGAATTATTCATTTTTATTATATAAACTGCTTGTAAGTGGGATTAGGCCACTAAGCAAGAAAAACCTAAATCCTAATTGCGCTCTCTCCTCCCTCTTCCCTCTGCTGACTCCTCTTCCTTCCTCTCAAAGCCGCCGCGCGGCCAACCCTCCCTTCCCTCCTTCTCCTTTGTCCCACCCCCAATTTCCCTTCTTCCTTCCTTTCTGTTTATCCCTCGATCAATCCCTAATTGATCTTTTTCTTATTCTTAATCCCTAGATAGAACCTAACCACTCGGGTTCTATCATTTGGTATCAGAGCCACGTTCACGATCAAGCAAGGACAAGCAAGATGGTGCTGACGAAATCTATGACTGCAGTGGAGAAGGCAGCCAAGGCGGCACAGGAGCAGGCCGCAGGTGGGCGGCAACGGGACTACCGACCCCCCCGGAGATGGCGCGCACGAGGTTCCCTGTCCGCGGGATGGGGAGCTGGTTGACGAGATGATCGGTCAGGAGCTCCGCACCGATTTAGACAAAATGGCGGACGCAGTGGAGCAGGAGCGCAGGTCCAGGCAAAAGGGCGAGCGGGCCCGTGAGGCGGGCTCGCAGAAGTTGTGGCTCGCCAGTAGCGAGCTCAAGGTGATGCTGGCGGAGGTCCTGGGGCGCGTCGGAGGTGGCAGCGGCGGTGCGGCCGGGGCGGGAGGAGGCGGCCCGGCCAACGGCGAAGACCCGGAGGTGGCGGCGGCGGCGTAGGCGGCGACGGAGGCGACGCTAGAGGCGGCCGCCGAGCCCGGGCATAGTGCGAGTGGTGGCGGAGCATGTACGGGCCCAGTGCAGGCAGGGTTGGGTGCGGGCCCGGGTCTTTTGCCTACACCTACGGCCCAGGAGATTGCGGCCTGCAAGGGGAATGCCAAGATGCCAGGCTATGACGCGAATGGGCCTCCAATGAATGTGATGCAGCGCAGCTTGCGGAAAAGATCGAAGAAGCAGCTCGGGGGAAGGAAACAGCTCAAGTGGAGGAAAAGTTAGCGCCGTGAGCAGCTAACTTGTGGGCGTCATTTGTTTTATTGTTATTGTTTTATTGTTCCTAAGTATTGTCGGTTAAGGATAGGTAGTTGAGTTTTTGGCTATTTAAGGCCTTGTGGTGCGTAGGAAGAAGGTACTTTCGCTTTGATCAATAAAACCTTACGGTATTGTTTACGGTGGATTCCGTAGTTTCTTTCTAGCTTGCGCTTGCAGGCTTGCTTGTTTGCCATAGACGAGCGCTTGCGAGTCTTCACAGGTTTCCGACAGCGTCAGGTGGTATCAGAGCCAGGCTTTCTCCTGCCTCTTTTCGTAGCTTGAGCAGCCATGGGAGATCAACAACCAATCACACGGGCAGACATCGAGGGTATCACTGCGGCTTTTACCGCTGCCCTCACCGCCCTATCGACGCAAGTAAATACGTTGGCTGATCGCGTCAACAACAACCTGGAAGGGAGAGGAAGAGGTCGGAGAGACGAGCGTCGAAGAGAAGAGAGGCCGTAGAGGCAACGTGGTGGCGCGGCCGCACGAGTTGATTCTGACTCCAGCTCGGAGGAGGATATTGCGGATGGACACACAGACGACGAGAATCAACGTCTTCGCGACGATTATCGAGTGAAGGCCGATATCCCATTGTTCTATGGAACTATGGGAATTGAGGAATTCCTGGACTGGCAAATCGACGTCGACAGGTTCTTCGACGTGATGGGAGTACCTGAGAATAAGCAGGTTAAGATGGTGGCTATCCGACTGAAGAGCACCGCCGTCGTATGGTGGGATAAATTAGTCGTTCAACGACAGCGTCAAAGGAAAGCACCAATTCGAACGTGGAGGCGAATGAAACAGTTGATGATGGAACGGTTTTTACCAGAAGACTATGAGCAAATCCTATACAAGATGTACCTCGACTGCATACAAGGAAGGAGGACTGTTACTGAATACACAACTGAATTCTTGCGTTTTGCTGAACGCAATGAGTTGGGAGAGACGGAAGGCCAAAAGTTCGCTCGCTACATCAATGGTTTGAAGAGCTCAATACAGGAGAAGATGGGCTTGCAGACGGTATGGACTGTAGCTGAAGCTTCCACCTTAGCATTGAAGGCTGAGTTGATGGAAAAGTTCCTAAGAACTTCTGACCTTTCCGCAGGTTCCCTCCACCCGGAAATTCTGAAGTTCTAAACGACAAGGATAAAACAGTAAGCCTAAAAGAGTCCAACCCTATAACGAAAAGTGATGGGCTAGCGGCTCCAACCCGAACAGGGGACCAGTCCCCAAGGCACCTAATCCGTACGCAAGACCCATAGGAGATAAATGTTTTCGATGCGGGGGTCAAGGCCATCGATCTAACGTATGCCCGACAAGGAGGACGACGGCTATTGTGACGGACGAGTTGGAGGAGGAGAATGAAGGCAATGAGTATGAAGGGGTGGAGTTTGCAGAAGAAGAATCACAGGAGACCGTGAATATTGTTCTGCGACGAATTCTGTTGTCGGCTACTGATGAAGGTCAAGGCCATCGATCCAACCTCTTCCGACAAGACCGCCATCGACGAGGAGTTCTTCAAGGGTTACGGGAGGCTGAACACGTTATGTAGGAGATGTCGCAGATACTGAAAATGACGACGAAACGACTCGTCGATCAAGCACAACATCAGCAGAGCATGGATGGAAGCATCAACAAGATCGAGGCCACAATGACGTACCTACAAGCCGCGATTTCGGAGATGGCACAAGGCCAAGTCTTCATGATGGAGATGAGGTGAGGGTTGACAACAAGGCTAGACTCGTTGCAAGCCTCAATCAGCATCTGGTTTCATCGTGGCGAACGGGGACAACGAGGAGAAACATGCAGAATTGACATCGAGGAACGAGGAGGTGGCTCTAGCAACCACAAGCCCGAGATCGTTGGGGCGAACGACCACCGGTATCTATAGTGGGGAGAAGTTGAAAGCGGTTAAAGAGGAAAAAGTCACCTGTTGCAGGATTCTCTTAAACCCTAGCTCGATCTGCGGGGCAGGGCGTGGAGCGGTCGATGGTCATTAGATCACCTGCAACGGTAGCAGTGAAGGGTCGATTGCTGCAATCGAACCCGAGTGGGGGCACTTAGGTTCTCAATTCGGATGCAGAACAAGGGCGAGACTCGACAATTATTCCAGAGGCGAGTGCGACGTTTCCGCCAGGTTTCATCGGCGACGAAACTAGTTCGGTCTGCTTTGGACTAGGTCAGGTCGGCGGAGGAATCCCAAGCGGCAGGGCGCAGGTGGTGGGAACGGTGGACGGGAAACTTTTGGGCCGGCAGACTTACTACCGCCTTGGCCCATGATGTTGGGGTCGGGCTAGGCCGGGAGCTTGGTCCACTATCAACCCCACAGCCGGTCGAGGAGAAGGCAGGGAAGTGTGGGCTCCGTGCGGAGGATTTGACTCGTCCCGAATATCACAATTAATTCCCGCCTAAGGTCCAAGTATAAACCTTAGTAGGGTGCAATACATGGCAAGTGTGTTTAAATATCGACTCGGGCCGGTCCATGTACCCCTATTTCAATTGTTTGAAACATTATCTTGCAAATCGGTTTTGGTTGAAAAGTTTGCTAATTAAAGTAAAGCAAGGAAAAAGTAAATGGTTTTGAAAACTCTATGCGAGAAGGATCACTTGGGTGTCGCTTCTCCCTAATTACTACCATGGCACGAGGAATTAAATTAATTGTTAAGGGCAAGGTGACCGCGAATCGCTAGGAAACGCAACTATGGTCGTAGACCAAACTCTCGTTTCCAAACCAAGGGATACATTATAGGCTACTCAAGTAGTCCTCTTGGTTAAGGAAATCAATGATTGACTTACTCTCTCACTCAACCCAATGGTTGGTCGGCTTAATTGCGCTTAACCAAATTGCTTAATTCAACATAGAGGTTTGCCTTAAATTAACCTAGATAAGTAGCTTAAGAAGCCCAAGGAATCCCAACTCAATTGAGCCTCGCTTGAATGGGGGTTTTCCCTCTAATCTGGGTTAGAATGGCCAATTGGATTGCTAAGCACAAACATTCACAATCAACATGGAAAATACCTCAATCATTGAATTAAACAACACCCATAAACAATCATTCAATTCATACAACAACTACATGGCAAATAGTTAGGGTTTCACAACACCCAAGTGAAAAGAGTACTACGCCATGCTATAAAGGGGAAGAACACAAGAGGAAGAGGTAGAAACCATCGTGAAGATGCCTCCAATCTCCTCTAAACTTGTGTTGATCGTCTCTTGCGGAGATTTTTCCCAATTCACCACTTGGATCAAACCCTAGCCTTCCTTCTTCCTTGGTTCGTCCTTTCTCTCTCTAAAATCTGAAGAAGAAGACACTTTCTCACACTTGGGGCTCCCCCCTTCTCTCTTCCTTTCAGCTCACATTAAATACCAGGATCGGGCTCAGTCACGGCGTCCGTGAACACAGAGAGCAATGTCGAAACGCACCGCTTCGCCATAAGGAGTTCACGGTTTGGCCTCAATCTACACGATCTTGTTGACCGTGAACTCGTCTCGCGGTAGTAACTGCGGATTTATCCCTGGACGCGTCGCAGTTCACGGTTTTGGGCTTCAGTTCACGGCCTTAGGAGACCGTGAACTCCGCCTCGATCACCCTCTTTGTTTGTAACCACAACTAACCATGCGTAGAGTTCAAGTCCAAGGAACAAACGGATGGGCAACAAAGGTCTTCACTGGGGTATGATATGACATGTAAACAAGAATGAATCACTCACTCTCTTGACCAGTGGGGTCGGGACCTTTTGGTGCAAAAAATGTGCACAATCATCAACTCTCGGCCTTATCGTCTCAACACCACGACGACAACCTTTAACTGCTAGAGTTCACAGAATGGTTGTCATCACTAGCTTGTCCGGAGGTCTTAGACACGGGTTCAAATGACTGGCGATTGGCTTGGACATGGGAAAAGGATTTTAGAGTGGTGGCAATCACATCATGAGGTCCTACATCTTCACCCTAAAACCGAAGGTTCTATGGTTTCGACTAAGA